GCCCCCGCCCCCCTCGTCGTCCCTATCACGTGGGCCCCACGCAGGGCCAATGGGAGTACCTCCTGGGGCAAGACGGGGCTGCAGCCAGAGCCTATGGACACGCGAGGGGTCTTGAGGGCCCGCCCCCTGCAAAGGGTGGAAGGAGGGGGCGGAGCCCAGGCGGCTGGTTCAGGGTTGCGCATCTGGGTAGGGAAGCTCCCGCGCGTCCCGCGAGTCAGCAGGAGGACCGAGCACCCTCACACCCTTAAATCGGGGTGTGCCTCCGCAGTTGTACCCCGAGACTGGAACTTTCGTGCGCCTGGCTCTGGCCTAGCTTGCCAGAGTGGAAGGTCGCGAACTTGAAAAACCCCGCCCACCACCCTTCTCAGTATTGTGCAGGACCGGATGTGCTTACAGTAGACGCGAGCTGAGAGTCTGGATGAAAGGGTGCATTCCAGATCCCTAATCGACTGTTCTTTCCATCTCTCTTTCCTGTACTTGGGGATAGAGGCTGAAGGAAGGGTTCACGCAGGAAAGTGGAAGTCTTAGGGAGACCTCTTGTGCCCTTACCAACACAGCCATCAGCCCATGAGGGTCACTGCCCCGAAGGGCCACCTGCCAGGCTGGGGAAGGATATCCGAAAATCTACCATGTCCCAGAGGAGCAAGGGCCCAGAACCTTGTCTTCTCAGCATAGGGGTCCTCCTGGAAAAGGTTGCCAGAAAGAGGCTAGGCAGAATGAGGCCCATGCCAGTTTCAGCACATTCCTGTGTTAGCTCAGGGAAAACCAGCTGACACCCAGGAAGGTTCTTAAAGCTCCCTGAAGGTCCCTCAATTCTTCTCAAGAACAGGCAGATTTCATATTCCTGCAGAATTTCTAAGGTTTATTAGAGATCTGGACCCACGACCATGACCTACCCAGAAACAGGTCCCAAATGTACCTATGACCCTGTCCCTCTCATTCTGGTCTAGACAAGTCCCTATATATGACCTGCAGCAGCCCCACTTCAGAAAAAAAAAAAAGCCTGTTTCTAGGTGGGGAATACCCAGGAGCAAGAAGGTGGGAGAGAGGTATAACCAGGGCAGAGCCTGCTTTCTTGTGTCCGCTGTCATTCCCACTGCAGGCGCTGTGTGTGCAGGGCCCAGCAGTAGGCCCAACTGCCTGCAGCCAGGGCCCAGCGACAGACGTCCTCCTTGGGCAACAGCAGCAGCCTGTCCTCCTCCAACCGGCTCAGGAGGCCTGCAGCACCCAGCATCGCACCCCCCCACATCCCGTAAGTGTTGCCTGTGAAGACGGCCACAATGAGGATGGTCACTGCGACCACTAACAGCACTGCCTGACCAGCCACAGAGCAGCCTTCAGGGCCAAGATGGTCACCAGCCACTGCCAGCACCATGCCTCCTCCCAGAAGCAGGTTAGCAGAGGAGCGGTCTCCATTCACCCAGTGAAAATCGAAGGCCAGAAGGGGCAGGCCAATGACTGTGGCCACCCAGGCTCCAGCAAGACAGTCTTCATGTGTGCCAAGCCCTGAGGCCAGCGTAATCGCAGTAGCCAAGGCTTGGAGTAGGAAGCCAGCAGCAGCTCCTCGACTTGACTGTCAACATAGAGAAGGAAGACATATGGGAAAAAGAGGCCAGGGGCTCACCTTTAGAAAAGAAAGGGTTTCATGCTCTCATGGAGACCTGGTCCCAGATTCACCTCCCACTACCATCTACCTAGTGCAGGAACTAGGTCTTTGGGAACTGGGGACACTCACCTGCACAGAGCTCACTGCTGCATGCAGAGACACCACTCCAAGAGCGAGGTGGGACAGGACCGTGCTCCACTCACCCCCAGGCTTGGGGACCATGGCACCTCGGGCAGTAGTGAGCTTGAGAAGACAGGAAGGGGAGCTTCAAGTTTGGAAAGAAAGAAAAGCCATGACCTGGAGCCCTAAGGGCAGCTTTCCAGGAATATTACCAGGTTACAGGGCCCCATGACTGGACATTGGGATGGGTTCAGTCCTAAACTTTCCAGAGCCCTGAGGCCACTGGACACACCTATAGAGAAGAAGGACTAACTTGGCTGGAAAAGAAAGGGGAAAGCGGTTTGGGGCACCAGGCGCAGGAGGTGGAGCACAGGCCTTCGCGGAGGCCTACGGGTCTCAGCAATAAGGAGGCGCCGTCCTTAACGCCCAGTGCAGACCTGCCGACAGCCGCAACTCCAACACCCGAGCTGCCCACAGCTGTCGTCACTGACTCCTTGACGAGCTTCGGCGGCCCACAAAAGCGCAGCCTGGAGCTGCCACCAGCGAGAGGAGAGGAGGCTAGAGCGGCCGGGGCGGGGCCTGTCGAGGCTAGTGGGAGGCTATAGCAGTGAGTAGGGTTTGATGGAAACCAGTCGCGGCCAGAAAGTACTCCGTAGTGGCGTGGGCGTGGACCTCAGGACCAGGAGGAACTTGGGGTGGAGGAGGTTTTGGGCGGGGCTTCGTGCGGGGCGGAGCCTCGAGGAAGGGTGGGCCTTCCAGGTGTGCGGGCGGGGCCTAACAGAAGAGGGCGGGGCTTCCTCCGAGGGCCGGGCTGCGAGGGGAGGAGTCCTTGTGCACCTGTGCGCCTTTGGGCACCTTAACCTGGAGTGGTGGGATGTCTCCGCGAAGGTTGAGGATTCCAGAGGAGGTGCGGTAGTCGTGAGTGCTCTCAGCCCCGGGTGTCCTCGGAGTAGGGACAGGGGGTTGAGAGAAGGGCAGGCCCTGGGGCTGCTGCCGGGGATACTTGTTTCGGGGACCACAGTCCTGCGCTCCCCTTTGGCGCACGCCTTCCGCTCGCGGGAGCCGGGCCGTGGGGGCGGCCGCTGCGAGCATGCGCGCCGGCACTGCGGCGGGCGGGTGTGGAGCCGGGGCGCGGGGACGCGGGGCGGCACGAAGCGGGGCCCTCTGCCGCCCCGCGCGCCCATGTACGCCTTCTACTCGCTGCTCATCTACATCTTCTACAGCCTCTTTCGCAGGGATGGCGGTGCAGCAGCGACCGCCGACCCCGGGGACCCAGCTCAGGTGAACAGGGTGGGGCCTGCGAGGCAGGTCGACCCCCGCCCCCACCCGAAATCGGGTGGTGGCAATCTTGTTTCCTCAGGGCGCTGGGGAGCGGGGCTGTGCCTACGACTCACGTCTCGGTCTGGGTATTGGAAGCATAGACCTTGCTCCTCACCTTTCTGCCTCAGTTCTCGAAAAGAAGCAGCCCCACAGGCTGCCTGCCACCTCCTCAGGAGCACCCCTTGCTCCCTTTCTAGAGAGCCCGCTGCAAGACCAGGGGTCGCCGTCATCCCGACCAGCTCACATCAGAACTGTGGGCCGAGCTGACTGGTCTGGCCGGTAGGTGCGACCAGGGCGTGGGGGGGGGGGGCTTGTGGGAGCCGGGAGGTCTAGGAGCAGGAGGGGTGTTGCAGCCTCTTTGGCAGGGTGAAGAGACTCAGCCTGTAACATGTGACTCAGAATGCCTCCCTGTCCTATTACGTGGCCCTACAGGCAGGTCAGCATCTGAGGATGAGCCAGAAGCGAGAGCTGAGGGCCGCCCAGCTGAGGTGTCCCTAGAAGAGGCTCTCACACGCCTGGCTGAGTTCCTCTCCATCCAGCTAGGAGCAGAAGAGAGCTGCGGGAACCCTCCCCACCTGAGGAAGGTGAGCCTGGGGAGAGGCTGTCTCCAGCAACTATTTCTCTCTCCCTAGCCCTTGTGGTGCCCAGTCCTGCTCCCTAGTTTCCTCTGCTCAAATTGTTGTCTCCTGCCAGGTATTTAGCTCAGTGATGCTGCGCCTGCCTCGAAAGTGCAAGGTCCTAAGTTTGATCCCCGGTACCAAAAAAAATCATTATCTCCTACACAGCCTGCTGATATCCCCCCATTGCTGACAGTGACAAGTCAGCTCTTGGCTCTTCTGGCATGGATTCGGAGTCCTCAGGGAAGACAGGTCCTGCTGCAAGGGACTCAGCCAGCCTCAAACCTGCAGGGTCCCACTTCAGATGGTTTGTAAGGGGGTATCTTCTATAGAGAAAATGAAGCCTATCAGATCCTGGGTGGCCTGGGACCCTGGGTCCCAAGCCCAAGTCTGCTCCTAAGGAAGATTGAGGCCAGACACCTCTTCAGTTCTAATTGGGCCCACTCCTCTCCAGGATTCTCCTTGCAAGAAGAAAGCCCTTCCCCTGGACCGGGGGAAGTACTAAGTGTTGAGGCCCAGGGTCAGCAGACTTCCCAGTTGGAGGAGGAACAGAGAGCTTGGCATCGACTGGAGCAACTCATTCTTGGACAGGTAAGGGACCCAGGACTGGCAGAAACTAAGGGGTATGAGTGCTAAAAAAGGAGTTCTGTCCTGTCCCCTGACTCCTCTGCAGCTGGAAGAGCTGAAGCAGCAGCTAGAGCAGCAGGAGGAAGAGCTGGGCAGACTGCGCCTGGAAGTGGTGAGCTTTGGGGTCGGAGCCAAAAGGAGCTTGATCCCAGGGAGGCTGCCCACAGGGAACTGGCAGGAGGACCACTATACTTTCAGGTGGGTCCTGAGGGCACTTCTCTTTGTAGGGGGCAACAGACTCAGAGAAAAGGGTTCGGCATCTCACACTGGAGAATGAGGCCCTGAAACAGAGTCTAAGTCTCACTAGGGATCTTCTGCTGCACTGGGGTTCCAGCCCCTCCACCAGTACCCCACAGGTACCCTGCTCCTTGGCTATGCCTTGCCTGCAGCATGGACCCCTGCATACTCAATATCCAACCATAGTGTCCAAGCCTCCTCAGGACTTCATGCTTGCAGAAGCAGGGGCCATCTCTGACTATGGACTGACCCTGGGATGGTCTGTGGGGGGCAGACTTATTAGGGAGGCTGATACCCACTGGAGAACCCCCTTCATGGTCCCTCTAAGTACCTGACCTCAGGAGAGTAGAGGGACTGAGAAAGGAGTCCTCCATGGAGTTTTGGAAGCACAGGTTCAATGGTGCCTGGCACTCTTGTCTTGGCTGTCCCATCTCTGAAATGTGACCACAGAATGCCCTTCCCTAAGTTCCCACCTAGTTCCATAACCCATCTGGCTCCCACCCTGCAGGAGGAAGTGGAGGCATTGTTGGAGCTCCAGGGCCGGCTTCAAGAAGCCCAGGATACCACAGAAGCCCTCCGAGTTCAGGTGGGCTTGGGATCTGAGATGAGAAAAGCTGGGATGCTGGGATGGGGTGGGTATCTGGGACAGGGGCTTCTAAGTGCTTTTTTCCTCAGTGACAAGGGTGGGGTTGGGGGTTGGGGCAGCTGGGAGTGCAAGAGGTGCAGCTGCAGGGCCTTCGAGGGGCCCTCCAGCAGCTCCAGCAGGAGACAGAGCAGAACTGCAGGCGAGAACTGGAGCAAGTGCATGGGCAGCTGGCAGGTAAGGGCTGGGGCAGGGGGCTCATGGAAGGGCCTAGGGTCTAGGCTTTCCCTCCCAATGGCCTTCCCCTTCCAGGACTACGGGCACGAATGGCCAGCCTGCGCCAGGGCTGTGGGGACCTCCGAGGATTGGTCAGCACCTTTAGCCAGAGCTGTCAGGGTTCGCTGAGTGAAGCCAGGGGCCAGGTCAGGACCGCTTGCCTCCTAGCACCTTTTCTTTGGGCAGCCTATTCACTATCCTAGGGGTATTTCTCCTTTTCAGCTCTGGGGAGCTACCTATACTAGTGTGTCAGTTGTAGGCTCTGGAACCAGAACAACTTCTGCATGATTGTATGACCTCACTTCTGTCCTGTTCAAGATGATAGTTCCTTAGAAACCCAGAGAGACAAGATGATAGCGTATCTTTGTCTATTCCTGTGTTCTATCCCAAGCTCACTGAATGATGTCCCCAAAGGGCCTAAAGCCACTGAAAGATGTAGACTACCACAACTGGTGGGCACACAGTGGCTCCATTTGGCTCTCAGTACCCCATCCCACTTGGAGCTGGTTGGAAGTCTTTGCCTTTCTCACATCCTTGTTCCCTCAGGTATCCTGGGCCCTGGGGGCACTATCGGCTGGAGGGGCTGGGACTCAGCCCTCTGATGAGCATCAGGCGTCCCCAACTGGATGCCAAGGAAGGCTGCTGGAGCTCAAGGGTATAACAAACTTGGGAGGTGGTGCAGTGAGGAAGTCAGGCTGGAGGAAATGGAGCCTTTCTGTGCTTCAGGACCAAGGGGGCAATCTTTGTGCTTGATCTCCACTGCAGGAAATATTCGTGTGCTATGTCGGTTGAGACCAGGGACACCCTCCAGCCTAGTGAGTGTGGAGCCTGGGCCAGGGGGCACTGTCACCACCTGTTATCGAGGGCGCCAGCGTCGCTTCTGCCTAGACTGGGTCTTCCCTCAAGATGCCAGCCAGGAACAGGTGAAAGCCAGCTTTGCACCTGTCTTGACCCTTGCTCAGACTCCTCTGGAATCTAGAAGAGGCTCATCTCCCCTTTCCCTCTCTGCGGGAGGGTGGCTAAGCCTCAGGAGAGAAGGGAAGGGAGCTCCCAAAGGGTCTGGGAATCAGGACTGGTCACTCAGTTGGGTAGAGTGATAAGCAGCCCTTCTTAAACTCGATATGTCTGGATCAAAGGCATCTATTACCAATCTTCTGTATTCCCCATTTTTTTATCTCCACCCCTATTGCCTCCTCCATCTAGTCATGGACTTGGTCTCATCCTGGCAATTCTAGATTCTACTAGCCTCATGGCCATCAGCCAAGACTTCAAGCAGAGGTGACAGCTGCCCAGTTACCAGCAACCTTCTGGCAGGAAAGCTGGCCGTGTTGTTCAAAAGGCTGCTGTGTCCAGTTGCCAACAAGATAAATATTCCTGTCCCATCCACAGCTCAGGCACTTCGCTGCACCTCTGTGTGGGGCTGGAGCAGTCTTGGCTGGTCACTCTCTGCCCCCCCCCCCCCAGAATGCCCTGGGCTCATCTTCTATCTGTCAAGTGCTGCTGTGGCCCTCTAGGACACATTCTGTATTAACTCTCATGAGTTGTCACAGAGGGAAATGACACAAAAGAGAAGCACAGGAAGGATGAGTAACTCGCTTCAATCATACCCTGGCTTTGGACCACGTGGTCAAGCCCAGCATCTGGGCCCTTGACCTCTACTGCTCAGTACTCCTAAGTACACCACAGGACTCCATATTCTCAGCACAGCTTGTTTCGTTTTTATTTCCAGGAAGGCAGAGGGTGTTGCTGGGTGACCCTGTGATCTCTGGAGCCACCTTGCAGGGGAATTACACTCTGCTCTTACATTCTTCACTGAACTTCCTACCCCTCTAGATCCTGAGTAGGGACCCAAGGACAGGGCTCAGAGCACTTCTCCCCATTCCCCTGCCTCCAGGTCTTCAGGGAACTGGAGCCAGCTGTACTGTCCTGCCTCCGAGGCTACAGTGTCTGCATCTTCACCTATGGTCAGACCGGGACTGGGAAGACCTACAGCATGGAGGTGGGGTGGGGGCCACACTTGGGGGTAAAGGCTCTAGGGGTGGATGTGAACCCAAAGTGGCACCCCACACTGTCCTCAGGGCCCACCTGAGGACCCTGGCATAGCTCCTAGGGCGCTGCAGTCCCTGTTCCGGGAGATGGGGGTTGGAGGGCAGCACCGAGTGACCCTCAGCATGGTGGAGATCTACAATGAAGCAGTCAGGTTAGACCTCTTCCTTTTACTTTGCCCCTGGCCCAGGATCTCTTTAGCTACTCCTAGGGCCCTGAAACCAAGCCCTTTTCCTTTCTCCCCAGGGACCTTTTGGCCCCAGGACCCCCGCAGCGCTTGGCAGTGAGGCAGGGCCCAGCTGGCCAGGGAGGCATCCAGGTGGCTGGCCTCACCCACTGGGATGTGCCCAACCTGGAGACCTTGCACCAGGTAGGGCTGTCCTCCAAGCCCCCTACCCCCACCCCAGGCCTGGACCCACCCAGCCGAACTCAGTGGGTCCACCCTCCAGATGGTGGGGCCGGGGATTTAGCTCAGTGGCGCTGCACCTGCTTTGGAAAATGCAAGGTTCTGAGTTCAATCCCAAGTACTGAGAGAAAAAACAAACAAAAAAACACCCTCCAGATGCTGAGCGTGGGGAGGAGCAACAGGGCCACTGCAGCCACTGCCATGAATACACGCAGCTCGCGCTCTCATGCCCTGGTCACTCTGACGCTGCGGGCAGCGTACCCCCCACGAGGCCCTAGCCCCTCAGGCACGTTGCACCTGGTGGACCTGGCAGGATCGGAGCGTGCGTGGAAGGCAGGGGTGGCCAGTGCAGCACGGGGGGACCCAAAGAGCGTGCAGCGTCTGCGGGAGGCACAGACCATCAATCGCTCACTGCTGGCGCTGGGAGGCGTGATGGCTGCACTGCGCTCCCGCCGGCCACATGTGCCCTTCCGAGACTCGCAGCTCACCCGCCTGCTGCAGCCAGCACTCGGCCCAGGTGCCACTGCGGTACTCCTGCTGCAGGTGGGTGCCAATGGGAGTGCGGGTGTGGGGGAACAAGGTGCATGTTCAGGGTCTGCCCACCAGTGCTACTTCCTGCAGATTTCCACACGGCTGGAGGACCTTGGGGAGACTGTCTGCTCACTCAAGTTCGCAGAGAGAGTGGGTCAGGTGGAGCTGGGGCCTGCCCGGCGCCAGAAGACCCCTAGATCTGGGACACCCTCCTCCCTCAGCACTGACACCCCACTCACTGAGACCCCTTGTACCCCCACGCCCTCTCCAGGCAGCCAAAGTCCTGGCCCCCATGGGGATTCTGGCTTGGCCTTTGCGCCACCAGAGGACCTGCCCCCATAGTTCTGGGTTGCAGCGTTGTGGAAGGGGCCTGGGGATGCCCCTCTGCTGGCAGAGGCAGTATAAAAGCCCTTATTCCGAACCTCCCAGGACAACCTGCCTGACCTTTGTAGGACAATTGCCCCCCAATCTCCTTTCCCCTACCCCGGCCAGAGAAGTGTTATGCCTGGAGAAATGGTTGTGCCCCACCCCATTGGGCCAGAGGCCCTCAGCTCCCTCCTTATCACCATTTGCTCTTATCACAGCACACAGCGGGAGATCCCAGAGCTACAGGAGCCAGACCCCAGCCAAGTGACTTCCCAAGTCACCACCCTGGCCCTCCAAATCAGGCTTGGCATTAAAATGCTGTAAATTACTTTACTGTTACCACCCCTCCACACACACACACCATCATCCCAAGACTATGTAGGGTTTAGTTTTTATTTCCTTACCCTTTTCCCAAAAGGTGCTACCTCCTTCCCAGAGAGAGGGCAGGACTTCAAACTGGACCTACCGTTAGGCTCTCCCTCCCCCAGCCTGGAGCCAGTGAGGGGAGGGGACAGATGGTGATGGATGGATAGATGAATGGTGGTGGGCCTGAAGGTGAGACCAAGAAGGGCTTCTCCAGGCTGAGCCCTGCTCCTCCAAGCTTTACCCATAGGTGTAGGGGAAGCAGGGGCATGAGTGACCTGGGCCAGGGTCCTGCCCAGTTGGGCTGCAACCCTTTCTGGGGTAGCCCAATAAACATTGTGGACTCTCAACAAGGCTGGTGCCTGGTATTTCAAGGCTGTGATGAATGTTGCCAATATCGTCCTTCTAGCCTAACCAAGGCTCCCCATCAAGCTGGAGAGATGGGAGGGGGAGCCCCTGTCCAGGGAGGCTCACAGGGTATACCAGGAGAGCAGCCAGCCTGGGGCAGGGGCAGCCAGGTCCCGAGGGTGGCTGACCCATACGTCATAGATGCTCTTATTGGGCGGCACCCCCTGAAAGAGTGAGTCTAGATCCCAGAGCAGTCCTGGGGAAGCCCTGGACTCAGAGGCCACCCCCCAGTAGGCTGGGCTGGTTGAAGGTGGGCATTGGGGACAGGAGGTGGGTGGCAGTGGGGCCAAGGGCATTACCACATTGGGGGTGTAAATGGGCAAGTAGGAAGTAGGCAGCTGTCCCCACAAGGAGGCCCTGCATTCCGCACTGGGCAGCCCCCCAGGGTCTGGAGTACCTTGTAGTACATGGAGGGGCCAGGTCCTGGGCTGTGGGGATAGGGGTGAGGGCCCGATGATTGCTCCCTGGGAAGTGTCCCCCTCCATTGTTGTGGGCCCCTGGAGGGAGCAGAGGGGCCACAGAGGCCTCTCAGAGGAGGGAAGTGGTGGTGTAGGGACCACCTCCTCCCCCCTGCACCCCAAGCCTGCCTGAGCTGGGCTGCTCTGTCTATCTGGGTTAGGGTGCTGGGGCCAGGGTGTCTCCTCTTGAGGGTGCCCTAGCAGGGACTTGATGCTGAAGCCCTCTCTGGGCTGTGGCAGAGGACTGGGTGTCCTGTAGGGCCGGCCTTGCAGCACATAGGGGCTTAGGTCCTTGGCGAAGGCTCTTCGAGTGCCCCGGTTCTGCCAGCGCCGGCACAGGGCAGTGTTCTGCAGGCGCAGTGCCTCGGGTGGAATCAGGCTCACATCAACTGCCCAGAAGTTGCCCTTGGCTTGGGGCTTCGCAGGGTCCTTGGGCACCTGGGGGGTGGTAGGCTTGGGTGGGATCGTCCAACCCCAGATGTTCAGGACTTCCACAACCTCCCGGCTCCCGGCCCCAGGGGTCCAACCCTCGCTTGCCGCACCTTGTGGAAGCATCGGTTGGAGGAAAGGTTGTGGCGAATGGAGTCCTTCCAACCCTCATAGTCATCCCTGAAGAAGGGGAACACGGCCTGGACCTGCCGGATGATCTGAAACCAGGCAACGGCCGGCGCCATGAGCCGGGTGGGTGGCAACACTCACCCCTCCCCCACAGCCTGGCTGCCGGGAGCACCTGGGTTCCCCCCCCAAGGAGGAACACTTATGCGCCTGAGGGCAATGTTGGGGGTCCCAAGGCCTGAGCCCCTCTACTCCCACACTGGTAGAGCGGGGTGTGGCAGGAGGCAGTTGAGGTGCCACTAGTGCCTGGAGTGGTTGGGGAAAAGGTCTGGGAAAGGGGTGACCATGGAGTGTGGGGGAATGTGGGGATCCTCTTACCTGAGCCAGCTTCAGCCTGCGGGAGGGTGCAGCCTGAATCACCAAGGCGATCATGGCCAAGTAGGTGTAGGGGGGCTTGTCATGTCGCAGGTATCTCTTCTTCCTCCTCTTGGGGGGCGACTCTGCCTCCAGTAGCCCAAGGCGGGAGTCACTTCGGGGTCCCATGTGTGGGGGGCCTGCCAGCGTGGTCCAAAGCCTGGCCTAGGGGAGGCTCAGGGCTGTGGGGCAGTGTGGCAAGGCTGGGCCGGGGCCGGAGGCCGGGTCAGGGCCGGCGGGCCGGGCCCTTTATCATTCTTATGGAAGGGGGAGGGGAGGGAGGAAGAGGCTGTGGGGGGAGGGGAGCATGCAAAGGCTGCCACAATTAGCAGGTTTCAGTTAATCTGAAAGGGAGGGGCAGAGAGGATTCCAGTGGGGACTTCTGGTGACCTCCTGAAGCCACCATCCCATCCTGGCTGCCTTTGAGTGTTGGCATCTATGACCTAGAAGGAAAAGCCTCAAGGGGCCCGTGACCCAGGATTGCTTTGCCTGGGTCAGGCCTCAAGCTCCCAACTAAAAGATGGGGAATAACTTGCCCTTGCCAAGGTGCTAAGGGGGATCCTGAATCCTAGGGGCTGGGTGTAATCAGGAAGCTTCCTGGAGAGAAAGGCCACGAAGCCCCCACCCCAGGAGCAAAAGGGAGGTACAGTAGCTCCAAGTGATTTTCCCAAGAGCATGCTACAGAAGCCAAGGTGGGGCCTTCACCTTCTCCCTGGTCATCTTATCTGTGGCTCTGCCTCTGGAATCAGTCAGGATGTGTGCTCTGTACCAGCCCCAAAGCCAAGGTTCTCCTCACACTGGGCAAGTTTGCTCAAGCACCAGCAGTGGTGGTTGGTGCTGGTAGCACAACACCACACTCCTAGTCCTCAAGGAGCCCTTTCCTAGCACTCTGAACACTTTATTCTGAGAACTGAGATTTTCTTGTGCAGCCCTTAACCTTTTTACCCTTAAAGGGTTGAAAACTTGCTGTATACAGTGGGTGTCCAGTACCTGGAGGGGCTCAGGGAAACGATGCACACTTAGTACATTGGAGGAGGGAGCCTGGGGCCAAAATGGAGGATGAGTGTGGGGTACCACTGCCCCTGCCCACCCAACCTTGGCTGGGTTGGGGCTCTTCCCAACAATCTCAAGCTCTCAAAGACCTCATCTGGCTTCCTCTGGACTCCTGTCACTTTCTTACTCACCAGGTCTTCTCCTCCTTTCCCTTTCAGGACTTTCCCTGAAGGGTCCTTGTGTCTCACTAGGCTAAAATCTACGGTCTTTTAACCTCACTCAGAGAGCATCATTCTTTCCACGAAGGCGCCCCTACTGGTCCCGCCCAGCTTCTAGTGTTCAATCCTCTTCCTCCTCCTCCAACGAGCTGCTCTCCTCTGTCTGCATTCACTGCCTGTTCCCCTGCCCCTACTCCAGCAGCTACCCGTTCCTCCGGTGAAGTTTGAGCCCTTCTGCTTTGGCAGAGGCCATTGCCTCTGCCCACCCATAGTGCCTCTGCTTTGAGCAATGGACTCCTCCTACCCTTTCTTCAGAACCCATAATATACACAGGTGACTACCCTTCCAAGAGCGTTTGACGACTTGCCCTTCCCATCCCTCCCGGACCCAGAGGAACAAACAACACAATTTCGCAGCCTCCAGACTTTCCCGGGGTAGGCCCCGCCCTTGGCGAGCGCTCCTTAGGCCCGGCTTCGGGCTCCCACCGGTCACCGCGGCTTCCGCTGCAGTCCGGAAGTGTCGCGTTGCCATGGCAAGGCTCCGCGCGGGACCCGCCCCCGCGGTGCCTACAGAAGCAAGGAGTAGACTGACCAGCCTGAGGGGCGACCAAGCGAGGGGCTTGATCGAGCGCCGGGTCTGCGAGGCTGCAGGTGAGGCGCGGCTTGCAGGCGGGCGCTGAGGAGCGGACCGCGCCGGGCCGGGCCGGGTCGGGCGGGCTGCTGAGCCGGTGAGGGCGCAGGCTAGGGCGCAGGAGGAGCAGGCCGGGCCGGGCTGCGAGGGCTGAGGTCTGGAGACGTTTCCAGAAGAGGCCGCCCTGGGAGGCTCCTGAATCTTAGGGTTCTTTCAACCTGTTGGTCAGGTGAGCATTGCCAGAACGGACTTTATTTTCAAGTGAGGACTTTCAGGCTGCAGAAGAGAAAGCTTTTGCCCAGGTGTGGTGTGTTTGTAGTTAGGTAAGAGGATAAACTGGAGCCTCTGGGAGATTCAAGTGACCTCACTTGTAGGCGGGAGCCAGGGCTGTACCTCATAGACTGGGATCAGGCAAGAGTATGAGCCGATTCAGGGCTGAGCTGATTTGGGCCACTGGCTGAACCAAAGAGGCTCAGGACACGATGGATTTAATTTCTATGGGATTAACGAGGAGAGGGGTATGTAGAAGAGTCAGCCAGGCTCTGGAAGCTAGTCCTCCCGACAGCTATGTGCTTTCCATTCTTCTCAGTCGCACTTGGAGGTGCAGGTGCAGGAAAGGGCACCACACTGCTCTTCTCAAACCTTCTGTAGCCCAGCAGTGAGCCCTCCTGAACGATCCCCCACTTCATTTTCTCTGGCAGGGTTGGTGTTTCCTGTAGCAGCCAGGTTCTTCTGAAGGCCATCTAGTTTACTTCAGGGACCCAGAGCCACCACTGCCCCAGCATGGGGGAGCTCCAGCATAGGGAGCCTGGAGCTCAGTTGCCTGAGGGGTGGTGGCTGGCTGGTGGGATCTGCCCAAATCCTGGTTTCATATTTGTCATTATGACAAAAGTTCAGAGTTCTGACGTACTAACTGCCTGCCCCTGCTCCAAGTCTCCAGTCTTGCCCAGGGCTAGGCTGGGAATACTTTAGCGAGTTCTTCTCTCTCCTGATGCCTGGGCTGGGTTTTTCCCCTTTTGGCTGGGGCCTTCCCTTGTCTCTTGATTGGTCTTTCCCAGCCTCCTCCCTCATCTGCTTGAGATGTGCTTGGACTCTGCTATAGGGTTTCCTGGGCTGGTGGGCAGCTAGCGAGGGGACTTATAACTTTGAGTTTAACTTTGAGGTCTCTGTACTAAGGATTCCTAAATCTCTGGACTATATCAACAACTGGTTACTGTGGATGTCTCCACTGCATGGAACTGAGGAACTTCAGTTTCAGGTGACCCAACAGATTGTCTCAGCTCCCTGATTGCACACTTGCTGTGTCCCAAGTGGCCCAACCCCAGTGCCTGAACCTCATGTACCTGTTGGCCAAAATGAGTCATCTGGGTAGCAGTTGCAGGCTCTTCCCTTATCTTCAGTTTCTCTTGGGATGTCCTCCTGGATGTCTCTGGCTCATGGGAATGCACACCTGAATGAACACCTTTCTGTCCACCCCCCCATGTCCCATTCTGATTGTTCTTTTACACTGGGTCGCTGTTGTCTAGACTGGCTTTGAACTCACAGTCCTTCTGGCTCAGCCTCCCAAGTAGCTGAGATTACAGGCTTGGACCACCATGCAGGGCTCTTTCTATATTATTTTGTACCCCAGTGCTGGGCTGGCCTATGCAGTGGCAGTTCACCTTTTTATTCATCAGTTGCTTTTTTTTTTTTTGTACTGGGGACTGAATCCAGAATCTTCACATTGAGCTACATCCCCAGCTACCCCCTTCAGCCTTTTTGTGACAGGGTCTTGTTAAATTACCCAGGCTGGCCTTGAACTTGGGATCTTCCTCCCTCAGGGTTCCAAGTAGCTGGGATTACAGATATGTGCCATCACTCCTGGCTTGAATGTTCCCATTTTAAGTGTACGGTTTGTTGAGTTTTGTAAATACCCCCATAATCCAGTTACAAAACATTTTCATCACCCCAAAAAGTTCACTCCGTGGTCCAACCATATATAGCCACTGATCTCTCTCTCTCTCTCTCTCTCTCTCTCTGTCTCTCTCTCTCTCTCTCTCTCTCTGTCTCTCTCTCAGGGGTACCCAGGGGCTTCACACTGAGTCCTTTTTATTGTCTTTTTAAAATTTTTGAGACGAAGTCTCAATAAGTTGGTAAATGGCCTAGGCTGGGCTCTAATTTATGATCTTCCTGCCTCAGCCTCCTAGGGTGCTGGGATTACAGGCACCATGCCTGGCTGCACATTCTCTTCAGATATTCTCATCCTTTTACCAGATTCACATTTTCTTTTTGTTTTTCTGGTGGTAGGGATTGAACCTGGGGTCTAGTTCTGTCAGGCAAATGCTGTACCATGGAGCAGCTCCCTCAAGCTCATTGTTATAAAGCTTATCCATTCTCATGGATGCATGTGTGGTGGTAGCTTATTGCAGCCTTAACTCACATATCTCTAGATTTGAAAGGCATTGAGCACCTTTTCATGTATTTGTTTTATTGACTTTATATCTTCTTTGTGGAATGTCTGTTTAAATCTTTCCTTTTGGGTACCAGGGATTGAACTCGGAACCTTGCGCTTGTGAGGCAGGCGCTGGAACCATTGAGCTAAATCCCCAGCCCTGTCTAAATCTTTTGCCCTTAAAAAATGGGTTAGAGTTAGGCTTAGTAGTACATGCCTGTAATCGTAGCACTCTGGAGGTTGAGGCAAGAGGATCATTGAGAGTTTGAGGCCACCCTGAACTACATAATGAGTTCGAAGCCAGCCTGAACTGCATGGTGCAACCCTGTATCAAAAAAACAAAAAAAAGGAGAGGGTTATAAACTGAGTGTTGTGGTACATGCCTATAATCCTAGCATTTGGGAGCCTGAGGCATGAAGATCAAAGTTCCAGGCTAGCCTGGGCTACAGAGTTGAGACCTCATGTCAGAAATGAATGAATGGGGTACCAAAAAAAAAAAAAAAGAAATGAATGAATGGGGCTGGGGATTTAGCTAAGTGGCAGTGTGCCTGTCTCATAAGCGAAAGGTCCTGAGTTCGATTCCCCCGTACTGCCAAAAAAAAAAAAAAGAATGAATGAATGAATGAAGAAAAAGAAAGAAAGAATGAACTAATGAGTGAAGCTGGGAATATAGTTTAGGGATGGAGCACTTGCCTAGAGAGAGTCCTTGAGTTCCTCTGCAGCACTGAAAAAACAAATACAAAAAAATGTATTGTTTGTCTTACCAAATTTTAAGAGTTCTTAGGCTGGACATGGTGGCATGCTCCTGTAATCCCAGCAAATGGGAGGCTGAGGTAGGAGGCTGAGACAGGAGGATCAATGTGAGTTTGAGGCCAGTGTGGGCAACATAGTGAGTTCAAGGCCAGCCTAAACTGTACAGTAAGGCCCTGTCTCAAAACAGAACAAAACAAAATTTTTAGGAGTTCTTTATATTTTTATGATACAAGTCCTTTATTAGGTGTATGTATTGCAAATACATTCTCCCAGTCCGTGGTTTGTCTTTTTTCTTGGCATTGTCTGAAGAACAGATTCTTTTAATTTTGATGAAATCCAATTTATCAATTTTTTTCTTTGTGGTTTATACTTTTATGATACAAGCAGGGGTGAAGGTTCACTGTTTTCTCTGTGGACATTTACGTTGTTCCAACTCCCCCCACCATTTTGTTTTTGTTTGGTTTTGGAGACAGGTTCTTACTGTGTAGTCCAGCCTGCCTTCCAATTCATGATCTTCTTGCTTTAGCCTCCTGGGTGCTGTGATTACAGGCGTGTATGCTGGCTCTACCCCCAACCCCTTTTTGTGACACTGGGGATCAAACCTAGAGACCTACCACACAGTTACATCCCCACCCCTTTTTATTATTCTTTTTTTTTTTTTTGTGGTACTGGGGATCAAACTCGGGTCCTTGCGCTTGCGCAGCAGGCTTCTTTTTATTACTCTTTTTAAAATTTTTTTTGGTACTGGGGATTGAACTCAGGACCTTGTGCTTTCGAGGCAGGAGCCGGAACCAATGAGCTAAATCCCCGGCCCAAATTAATTGTTAGTTGGTTTTTTTTGGTACCGGGGATTGAACTCAGGACCTTGCGCTTTTGAGGTAGGCAGCAGAACCACTGAGCTAAACCCCTGGCCCTCTTTTTAAAATTTTGCCAAGTTGCCCAGGTGGGGCTCCAACTTGCAGTCCTGCTGCCTCAGCCTCCCAGAGTGCTGGGATTACAGGTATGTACAGGCCCTGATCTTTTTTTTTTGTGGTAGTGGGAATTGAACCCAGGGACCTTTGCACTGAGCTAAATCCCCAGCCTGCCTACTTATTCTCTCTTTCTTCCTTTTTTCCTGTCTTCCTTTCTTTTTAAACAGGGTCTAGCTAAGTTACCCACCAAACTGGCTCTCGCTGACATTTTAATAATGTAGAATAGGGTCTTTTTCTTCACTTATTTAGGTCTATTGCTGTATAATAAATCATAGCAAAATACAATGTCTAGACAATAAACATTTATTATCTCAAGGTTTGTGGATTAGGAATTCAAACTGGATTTACTGGGTGGTTCTGCCTCTGTCCCCTGTGGTGGTTGTTAGGTGATGAGCAGGATCCCCTGGAAAGATGCTCCTTACAGGCACGGGGTACGCTGTCAGCTGCTTGAGTGTCTTACAACATGGCAGCCCGTCTTCTCCAATGTGAGTGTCCAGGAGAGAGCAAGAAGCTGCCTGGGCCTTATGACCTGCCTCTGAAGGTTTGCACCATGACTTCTGCTTTCTGTGTCTTATTTGTTAGAAGGAAGTAATTAAACTTAACCTGTGCTTAGGGAACAGGTTGAGCTCCACCTTCAGAAGGGATCATTAAAATATTTCATGCTTTCTGATTCTATTGTGAATAAC